ATATAAAATTATTATTATTATTTTCGAATTTTTGCCGAAAGGGTACCGATCTAAAAGAAAGAAAAAAACGTAAGAAATGTGAATGAATTCCTCAATATCAGTAGGCCTATTACCTGTTACATTTACCGTATAAACAAAATAACATATTTATATTTGGTTAAGTTATTGTCACATTCACAAATACAGCTACTGATTGTATTATAGTGCATTTTCCACATGAGCAACATTATTACTGTGATGGTTTCTCGCTGCTTATCAATTATTGACTGTTTATAAGTTTTTGTTGAATAGATTTGATGTACACATGACAGAACGATAAATTTCTATTATAAGCCGAATAAACAATTTAATGTGTAAAATACCAACATCCTTATTTTCTATGTACATTACTCCTTAATATACGGTAGCCTATTGTTAAATCTTACAGCCATTGGTTAATACGCCCACACGGTGCTAATTTACGAAAAAATTGCAATGATCTTGTAAAGAAATTATAAACATTTATTAGCTTACCTTTGATAATGAAGATGGAACATACTATAGTCTGTTGACACTGATAAAAAAAAATTTCACCGTGTCGTCGGTGTATTGTAAAAACCGGTAATGTTTCCGCGTTGTATTCAAACAAAAAGCAGCGACGCCCTTCCAATTTCTTAAACTTAATTTTAAAATTGTGTGTGGAGGTGCAGACTCGGTGGTCATTGAAAAAGATCACTAACATAAATAAATCCACTTTTGATCCATTCTTTAAAATAGATAGTTTATACTTAATACATTTGTTGAGCCAAATCACCTGGTTATGCGGGTTATTTATTGGTCATCGAAAGTGCACCGATCTAAAAAACGCCGTAAGATTGTTAGTAAATATATATGTACCCAAAAAGAATATATATATTTGTATATATAATATATATATTTCATATATATATATATATTTCATTAGGTTATTGTCACTTTCCCATGTAAATCTACTGATTGTTTCATTTGTCTTTTCCTTTCTCGCTTTTTAACAATTTATTGGCATTATACTATTTGTATTTGGATCTATTGAATTTCACTTGACAGAACGATGAATGTCTATAATATTTAAAGCGTAAGAGTAACAAATAGTTAATTATCCTATTGGATTATAATCTTTATTTGTTTTCTAATTCAATTAAAATATCCTAATTGCTCATGTAAATTTCTCCTAAATATAGTGTAAAATTGCTGGGCCATGGAGAATATCAATGGTTTGCACTGACCAGGTCACGCAGGGTAAAAAAAAAATAAATAAAGTAATACTACAAATTACACATCACACAGCCATTGCTTAATACGCCTAATATAGTGCTAATTAAAAAAAAAAAAAATTCAGAGCATCACGAATAACTTGGAATGATGTTGCGGAGGAATTGTAAACATAATTGTATTAGCCTTAGATAATAAAGATGGAACATACTACAGATTGTTATAAGATGAAAAAAAAAAACCATTTTTATGATTGAACAATAAATTAATGGTTGATAGACAGACAGGTTAAGATAATTTTGTCGAATACTAATTTTAAAAGTAATTCCACATTAAATCTTCTATTTCCTTGTATATAGTGAAGAAAGGTAGCATTTTATTGATCAAACATAATTCGACCTCTAAAAGTTTGTCATTATTACCATCTATTCCTACCTCCTTTATTGAAAGCAAACAGAAAAGTCAATATTGAAACCCTGGTTCACCTAGCTGGATTAACGGAATTTCTTACTTATAAATCCATTTTCTTCATTAGTATTATCCTACTACTATCATTATTATTTTTCTCTTTATTGCAAACATATGTGCTATAACATGACAAGAACTACAATGGGAGCCAAGAAATGGATTTTCTTCAATCAAGCTTGGCCCCAATCTTACGTTTATTGCTACACCCTAAATTATGCCACCATGCAGCAGGGGCGTAGCCAGGATTTTGAAAGGGGAAGAGCCGTTATGCGAGGTATGTAGGACTCCGGTTGGCCCGGGCGACGAACCTCCCTATGAAGTAGCGCACTCTCAACGTTTAAGGACTGTTTTGAGAGGATAAAGTGAAAATTGCATTAGGCGCATCATAAATAATATTAGGAGCCCGGGGCACAATAAATATAATAAATCAACAGTGGCGGATCCAGGAATTCGAAAGAGAGGTGACCCAGGAAGGGACTTTCACAGACTGAGGAACCACCCACCTTAGCCCCACCATGGTTGGGGCTGAGGTAAAAAAATTATGTTTAGGGCGCACCTCTAGATGGCCGGAAATTACACTCTCATGCTTAAATTTGAATATATTTTCCTTTTTTTTCTTCAAAAAAAAAAAAAAATTCTTAACCAAAATAGTCATAATCACGAAAATTGGGCATGAAAACCAAGATCACATCCTAAAAACAAATACACAGTATGCACCCTCTCCTCGGCAGTCACAAGACATACTCTGTGTCAGGTGCCGACTTGATGCAGTTTAATGTCATACCCAAGGAAGGGCAGAGGTGGAGGGGGAAGACATTTTGTGAGTCGACACCCACCTAAGACTCACCATGGTTGGAGCTGAGGAAGAGTACCTCTAGATGGCCAGAAACGACACTTTTAGTAAAATTCATTATCATCACATCACTATTAGTCCAAATGGAGCGCCAAACAAATTCTCATGGTCTCTTATCAGGGATTTTCGGCAACCATAGAGATCTTATTAATGTGTGTGATATAGAAAACAAAGCTTAAAAACATTTTCTTTGAGTATGTACTTTACAAACTTCGAAACCGTGACTTCACAACCAAATCATTCCCACCATGGTTGGGGCTGAGGTGAGAAAATTTGAGGAAATAGTACCTCTAGATGGCCGGAAATGACACTTTTACACCATTATATCATGGAGAAAATAATTTTCTCCATGATTATATAGTCAAAATGAAACGCCAACAAATTTCTCATGTACGTTTATCAGGGATCTACTTAATATCCAGGACAACTTGGCATTAACTATAATTTACTAAGCTTTAACTATACGATAATATTATGATCAACAAAATCACAACTTTATTTTTCGCCTTCAGCACAATTTTCTTCACATTTTAATATTAATAATATTATATAGTCAACCACCACCACCGCCGCCGCCGGTCTTAAAATACTTGGTCGGGGATTTATGGATATTTAAAAATCACGCTTAGGCACGTGTTATAATCATAGTAGGCCTAGTCCTATGTATAACGTGTACGGTACTGATGCAATTTATGTATTTTAGAAGTATTCATTTTGAGTGATCCCAGGAAAGAATTTGTATTCGTTTAAAAACAAGCTTTAAAATTTAAATACTGTGTTTAAAGGGGGAAGGGGGAGCCGCGGCTTCACTGCCATGCACAGGGGCGGATCCAGAGATCTCCAAAATGGGGAAGGGACCGAAAGGGGAGGGGGCCCGAAAGTTGGGCCGATCGAGACAACACTGTCCTAGGGGGTTCGGGGCATGCCCCCGCGAAATTTTTGTGTTCTAGACGCCCGAAAATAACATTTGAGGCGTTCTGGGCTATCATTCTTTTTCTTTTTCTTTCTTTTTTTACCTCCCAGAAGTGGGACCGGGGCCGTTCCGTCCCCCTCCCTAAATCCGCCCTGAAGCAGAGCCTTGTTGACTTTACTTGACACTAATATATAAACCGATTCTCGTTTATAACATGTTTAGTCATCAGAATAATATCAAGCATCTCACACTTTTCACTTTTCGGACTTTCCATTGCAACATACAGACTCAAGTAATGCTTGTAAAATAATATGCTAATTACCTCTGGTTTCGTTACAACAATTGAATTGGCAAGCCATCATTCGAAATAAAACTTGGAATTTATAACATCGTCAAAATCAAGTTTATGAACTTGGTTCCTAATTCTCAATTCAAACTGAATTTCCAACAACGACGCATACCGGGTAAGCTCTTATATTTATACATTTCAATCACATAGTGATTTTCTTACTGAACAAAATGCTAAAATCCTATCATATTCTTTAGAGATTTTATGAATATGTCGGTGATTTTTAGAGCACGCTTCTAGAATAATATACTAATTTGAATAAGGACCAACGTTTTGTAACGATTTACCGTTCAGACGCGCCCACAAATCTGAATAAAATATATCGTAGTATCATTCTTTTAGGTATCTTACCATTATGGGCATATTTATGTCCATTAAAATATCGTAAAAATAATTTTATAACACGAATCTACACAATATTAAACGAGGACTTTTCACGTTAAAATAGCACACATGCGAGTATTCATATTCAAATTACGTTAGCACAACGCAGTGGAATGAGCAGAGTAAAATATTCAGGTAGGTAAGTGGAACATACCACTTTTAGTAAGTGTGGCTGATACAAGTTTATTCTCCACAATATCAGATGGTGGATCTGACAATATAATAATTTTTTAGTATACCAGGCCCGTAGCCAGGAGGGTTTTTATGGTTCGGGCGAACCCCCCTGTTTTCTAGCGAACCCCCTCGAATTTTTGAATGAGTCCCACTCGGACGGAATGTCTGTTTTTAACTTACCTAGCATTTTGTACTATTTTAAACAATTTAAAGCTAATACGGTAACTTTGTAACAAACTTAGAATAATATTCGCAGTAAAAATCAAAACGAGGAAGTACTGTAGGCCTAATTTTTGCAGATCATTCTATGGAATTTCCAGTTACATGCGCAACCCGGATACAAAACTCGTCAAAAATTGCATGTTCATGGTTGTTGAAGCCTTAAATACAATAAATGGTCTTTAAAACCAACAACAGTTTTTCACACTACCCCTGTAAATATATCAAAAGTTTAGGCTTTAATGTATATAATGAAGTTTAGTTCTAAATTCTCATGTGATGACGTAAAACATTAAGATTATGACAGTGGTATAGGTAGTCTAATGATGATGA